GTTCTCGTTTGCTGTCATGACTCAATTTTTATACTTAATTTTGTTTATTATGGATTTTGTAACGCTTTTGTTGTTGCGATCAATACAAGTAAGTAATTGTTACGTAGCGTATTCGGAAACTAAGTACCGTTTCATTCTAGTGCCGTCGCAGCGCTGTGGTAGGCGTCCCGCGCATGCGCACTAGTCTTTCTTTTCCACTGACTTTCAATTGTCGCCATTTTGGTTGCTCTATGTTGTGTTTTCAGTTTGCTGTGCGCATTAAAAATGTTTAAGACAATTAGTTCTCCCGCTGACTGTGAGATTCGTGCCGTGATTAAATTTTTGAACGCGAGGAATGTTAAAACCGGCCGAAATTTATCGTCAAGTGACAGAAGTTTACGGTGAATACGCGATAAGTGATGGAATGGTGAGAAAGTGGGTAAGAATGTTTAATGCAGGTCGAACAAATGTCCACGCCGAGGCTCGGAGTGGTCGGCCTTCTGTTGTCACCGATGATTTGGTAAGGAAAGTTGATGAAGCAATTCATGAGAACAGACGCTTCACAATGACAACTCTTTCAGAGGCATTTCCACAAATTTCACGTACTGTTTTGTTCGAAATTGTGTCTGACCGCTTGAATTATCGCAAACTGTGTTCCCGATGGGTTCCAAAAATGCTCACTGATGTTCACAAAACAAAGCGACTTGGTAGTGCCCTGACATTTCTCACGCGGTACAGTGATGAGGGAGAAAACTTTTTAAACCAAATTGTGACAGGTGATGAAACTTGGGTGTGTCATTTCACACCAGAATCGAAACAACAATCGATGGAGTGGAGACACACTCATTCTCCGAAAAAACAAAAGTTCAAAGTGACAATGTCATCACAAAAAATCATGTGCACTGTCTTCTGGGATAGGAAAGGCGTTTTGCTTACTGAATTTCTTCCCAGAGGTGAAACCATTAATGCGGCACGATATTGTGAGACTTTAACAAAACTAAGGCGTGCCATTCAAAACAAACGAAGAGGAATGCTCAGTAAAGGAATTGTGTTGCTCCATGACAATGCTCGGCCCCATACTGCTGGTGTCACTCAATCGTTAATTCGACAGCTTCATTGGGAGCAGTTCGATCACCCGCCGTACAGCCCGGACTTGGCGCCGTCCGACTATCCCTGCACATGAAGCGCGAGCTTGTTGGCAAGCGCTTTGGATCTGACGATGACGCGAAAAATGCTGTGGAGTTAAAAATTCTGCTGTGTCTCGAGTAACTCAAAATGAGGGTCTACACATAGGACAAAGACGTCTTTTTTCTGAGAAATGCCGAGCGAGTGAGACGCATCGGGAAAGCTGATATCTTTCTCCTTCTGTAATAATACTGTAATTTTTTTTGTAATTAACCAAGAAAGCTTATGTTACTTTTATAAATAACTATAAACTTACTATACTTTTAAAATAATTATAAACAAGGAAATTAAAAGGACAACTGCTCTGAGTTTTTCCATCAGGGAAGTTACACCTGCTGTAAGCTAGATGCGTTTTCCCACATTCTGCCCCCCTCCCAAAAAAAGCAATTCCTAATGAAATAAACAAAAATCCCAGGGTCCCTTAAAGAGCTGTAATTCACAGTGTGTTTACACCGATAAATCTATCAAAACTAGAAGCACAGAACAGAAACTGATGCCCATGCGTTAAGGTCAAAAGCCATATGACTCAACGATGTGAAAACTGTTACGATGTGTAAAAATTCAAATAAATTGTTACATTTTCAAATTCCATATACGCAATGCTGGGCTGAAGAGATTCATCAGACCTGTTTGTGTAGAAGTGGCACTGGGCTGGTAAGAGTGGAATCATTGCATTGTGCCTCCAGGATGTTGGTCATTAATGGGTTAAAGACTCATTGATTGTTTTCTGAAATATTACTTTTATGCATATAAAATTGGATGCCAGTATATGTATTGGGTTGAAGTTTTGAGAATTTTCACCTTGGGTTCCTTGAAATGCTCTCTACAGGACTACGTGCTAAGCAGCCTGTGGAAATATGTTATTGCTGGAGAGGGGATGACAATTAATTGCATTGGTAAATTATGTTTGATTGAAACTTCTCTTTTTTATCATATTTTAGACATGAGTAATCAAAAATAGCAATTTACATGCAATATTTTTCTCCTACAAATGAGGTAAAAATACTGCATTTGAGGAAGCAAATTTGTGAATATATATTATTGATAGGTTAATATAGATTTTATAAGTGAATCAGTGTTTTGACTCGTGACTGAGGACCAGAGAAATAGAGGCATGTAATATTCTTAAAAGCATGGTTGAATGTAAGTGAGAGCAATAGTAAGACATTTTCCAAAGTGAAACTGTTTTTAAAATATTTGGATTCCATGCAGACTTCCAGCAAAGAACAACCTGAAGCATTATTCTACTTACAGTATATTTTTGAAATGGATCCTATGTTAAAATTACTTCTAACTAGCATTGCCATATATGATAATGATATGCAGAAGCAATCATAAAGCTAAATGACATAACTTAACATAGCTTACATAGTAGATTATCCTCTAGGTGGAATTTCAAGGACATTCTTCAACTATGAGCTGTTCCTAACAAGTTAAACGGTTCCAGTGTCTTCTGTGAAAGATTAAAAGTTTCAGTGTCTTTTATGAAAGAATGGCATTGGAACTCTTAAGTTTTCAGTCGCAGTCTTTCTATAGACTTCTGTAGATAAATATCTTCTGTTTCTACAGCCTGTTGGAGAAATTATATCAAAACATCCAGTTGAAGCACCATGGTCTAAAAATGGGGAGTATATGGTATTTTACCAAGACAGTGCAAAACCACATATGCTTTTGGTCACTTTTCAAAACTGAACAAGTATGGCTGAACTGTCGTACTCCATCTATTATATTCCCTAAATATTACACTATTTGACTTCCCACTTTTCCAGCCGGTTTAAAATCTTGTTTTCCAAACTATTTTTAAATCGAGAGTTACTTAACAAAAGTTTTTTGCTATGTGATAAATTAAATACAGTACAAAGTCTTTAATCCAGACTTGTCGGGACTTTTTTCGGCGCGATTGGGTTTTTCCGGATTATGTCATCAATTTAAATCGGTAAGATGGCATGGCAAAATTAATAAATTAAAATTTAAACTGTAATTTATTAAGTAAAAAGCAATTATGATCTAAAGGGACAAATTTAAAAAAAAAAAAGCTTATATTTATTTGTTTACTATTAAACATTTCTTTCAATATGAGTTGTTTAAGTTGCTTCGTTTTTTGTGCTAATACTTTCCCTTTAATTCTATAAACAGACATAATTTCTTGTTCAGTTCAACTGTTCAAGTCCTGTAATACCGTCTAACTTGTCAATCGAAATTTTTTCATTTTCAATAACCTCTCTGTCACTTTCTTCACTATCGGAAGCGGTACATCAAAACATGCTTTCGCTTTGTAGATCCTTTGGCAGTTCTAGAATCGGAAACTCTTTTTGACATAATCGAAAGTTCAAGCTTATTTTTATAAATTGCTCTAACGTCTGCAAATAATAGTCACATCCAATTAGAAGATTAGGAACAACGCAATCGCAACATTAACTGAAATAGATAATTAGATAATTTTAGACTAGCTTATACCGTCCGTTATACATTAAACGCATATGCGCATGCCTAAAGGTATTATGCGCAGAATGTTTGTAGCTCTGAATGTTTGTAGGTCCGGATTAAAAACTTTGTACTGTACAGTGAAGTGCCATTGAATTAGGGACAGACATGGATGTGCAAATTTTGCAGTGCTGCTCCACATTTATGCTCACTCAAGGGCATTGTGGTAACTGCATATATAGCTAGTACTGTGTTTATTGTTAATCAGTTGTTTGAATTACCAGTATAAGTAAAAATTCTAATTTATATACCTCTGATTGTGAACAGGTAGTAGGCACTCGACGCATGGACCATTCAGTTTCCGAAATCGTCAGAGGGCTAGGATTTTCAAGGTCGACAGTATCGAGAGTATGCTGAGAGTACACGGATAGAGGAAAGAAAGCTGGCAATCAGGGAAATTACAAAGGAAAATGTGGTGTCAGCTCATGAAGACATGGATCTTGTATGCCAGGTTAGAATGGTACAAGGCTATTGGGGCCTAATCATGATTGGGGGTGTTTTCTTTTGGCAGTGTTTGGGATCTTTGGTACTTGTACCAACCTACCTCAATATGATTCGGTACGTAGAGTTGCTGGACGATCATCTCCTTCCATATATGTTGTCCTGTCATTCACATGGAAATAGAGTATTCCAACAAGATAACTGTACTTCTCACAGCTCTGTGTTGGCTATTGCCTGTTTGTATGAGCATTCCTCTGATTTCTCTGTCATGAACTAGCTACATAGAAGCCCTGACTTAAATCCTAGTAAGCATCTTTCGGATGTTTAGGAAAAAGGTGTGAAACCACACCACATATCACTAGTGATCCTTCCTTATTTATGTACAGCTCTATCTAATGTTTGGCAATCCATTCTCGTAGAATGCTTCCACAATCTTACAGAATCTGTGTCTCATCACATGGCAGCCATTGTCAAGGCCAGAGGTGGCCCAACTCATTATTATTGACTTGCTATCTCTAATTCAATGGCACTTTAGTGTATTTTTAACATTAGTATTTTGGTTAAGTTCATTAAAAGTTACGTTAGTTTTTTAACAATTTCATTTAATTAAAATGTAATGTAGTTTGCAAATTTATGTTTATTTTTTTCATCTTTATTATTATTTACATATATGAAATTAACATTTAACTATAGATAATATAAAAATTTCTTTACTAAATTTTAAAAGCAGTTCTCAGGCATTTACTGTTTTAAAATTGTATATGAGATTTCTAAAATATTGTTTATTACTAGTTTTATCAAGTAATATGATTATCATTTGATTTGGTTCGTCTAACTGTGAAGATATTCTTTATTGTGTGAAAATTTAAATTGATCAATAGTGTTGTGATAGTGCTTATCTTTCAATGCAGATACTAGGACTAGGTCAAGTTCTGTAGAAGCTGAAGTTGATGGATTAGAGGAACCTAAAGAGAAAATTTATGGCAAAGGTCGACTAACAAAGGAACTTCTTGCCCAAGGCCTTATTACACCAAGTATGCTTAAAAGGCTACAGAAAGAATGGGAACAATCTTTAGAAAGTTCTGCCATGTCTTCAAATGAAAAACAAAGAGTTAAAAAATCTACAAAAGTCTATAACAGAAGGCTAAAAAAGAAATAGTTTTTATATTTTTGTAGCACCAAAATTAATTGTGATATGAACTATAGTTACTGACTTTGACTATTAAAAAAAATTGTGAATGTTATTTCTTACTTTTTATATTATATATTGTAAATCATATAAACTAATCATTCATAGCAAATGTAAACTACATTCTTCCGTATTTAAACTGCATCTATTGACATGCAAATGTTAAATCTTAGTGTTCTTGGATTATTTTTTTTCCTGCCTCTCCTTATTTATTCAGAATATCCCAATTTTTGATTGGTAAAAATGGAGCTTTCACCTAATAGTTCCCAGAAAATTTTTTAAAATTTTTTCATCTACATAACAGGTGTTGTTCTTTATATTTTAATTAACACTGTTCAAATGATACAAATTAAAAATCCAGCATGGTTTCTTTTGAATTATTCATTAAAATAATTAAAAGATGTAAAAATCTGCCTATAAATGAATTCCTTCCCCCCCCCCCTGCATTCCTTTCACCACTGCTACACTATCATTGCTCCCCTTTACAAAAGTTGAAAAAATATATATACATTTTTTAAAATTAAACAAAAAATTATAATCCTTCCTGTTTAACCCCCCTTCTCATTATATTTTATTCCTTCCTGGTTGAGAATAGAATGTTATGCTGAAACTGTTTTGAAATATCACAGGATTCTTTGATCAATGAAGGATCATTTAATAATGATAGTGTTTTTTGAATTTGATTTCCAGCTCTGATTAGTATTATTGTGTAAATAAATTTGCGGTTTTCTTCAAAAATTATGTAAATGTAAATTAATTTCTTAATAATTTTTCATGAATTTCTTTCAAATGCTTATGAAATTTACATTTTTGTTGTAACTGACTACTTGAGATTTCTCTCCTAAAGTATCATTATTTGGTGTAAAATTTCTTATGAGAGGTAGTCCAAAATCATAAATGAATTCCCCCCCCCCTTTTTTTTAATTTCAGAAGAAATTAACTGTTTCTTTTAAGTCAGTATAAATACATGAAGGTGTCTTATAATTTTTTATTTTTAATAAGGTGTTACCTATTTCAGCCATCTGTCTATTTAATGCTAAAATGCTTATCAGTTTTACATTAAAAAGGCTAGCAAATGATTCTAAAATGCCTAATTGCCTTCCAGCATGTGGCATGCAGCTGCTAAAGCAGATGAGTAGGATGATATTCAGGCGTTTCAAGCTCTGCAGGGATAATTTTTGCACACATACAGACATTTCAGACAAATAACAGTAGGTTTTATTAGTTACATGAAATAATTGAATATGTAAAGGGACTTTCTAGCCCCCCTGTAATTGCTGATGCATAGTAGTGGGTTTGATGGGGTGGCGAGTTATTAACAATTCGTTAAAATATGTAATTTTGTCTTTATTATGCACTTTATTCAGATGTTTCAAATAACTAGGAGGTAGATATATCTCAAAATTTATAAATGCAGTCAAATAAAAAATTAAATATTTTAATAAACACAATGGCTCAATAAAACGGACTATATTTACAAAAACACATTATAACGAGAATGTGATGTGTAAAGAGGCGAAAGCGAAGTCTTGGATTTGAAAGTATGGAATTTCAAGATATCTGGGCATCTTAAAGACGACATAATGTGACATCTTTGCAACATCATGTGTGACAAGATTACTGCATCATTACAATGTCTTCATGACTCAACGTCATTTGAGTCTATTCGTGCGAGCAGTGGGGGCCTAAGCAGGTACAGCATAAAGTAAGTTAGGCAGAATGGCTTGTGAATGTAATAAATGTTTAGTGCTTAAAATTTAAGTTTAAACTTTAAATTTAAGTGCTTAAAATTTAAAACATAGATCGGCATAAATGCTTTCAGTGCTTTGTTGCGAACTAAGCTCACATGATACTTGAAATGTAATCTTTCTCTTTAAATAGATGCATATCCATTTGATGTATGGTTCTTTTTTGATAATAGTGGCATTCATGGTAATTTCTTCTAGATCTTCACGGAGTACTTTTTTAATGAAGTCTACAACTGACTTCTGAGAATTTCTTTGCACTTTCCACCCTTGAAACCAGGGATAAATTTAATTTATTGCATTTTGTAAGCTTTTAATAGCAAGGTGAGGATTCAAAGATTTAAATAAAATGGTGATATCTCCCGTTCTACTGAGCTGATTGACAAAATTCAAATTGCGTTCTTCATGTCTCAAAAGCACGACTTAGGATATATATTAGATTTATATATAGCACTATTCTAACATAGGTATTTTGACACAAAATCGGACTTTTTCTGAAATAACATACCAATTTTTTTACATATTTCGATTCTACAACTCAAATTGCGCTTAAATATGAAATATTGTAAAATTTGGAGCGAAATTTACGGAGAAATTCACAAATTTATGTTGGCACTTTTTTTTTCAGTTTGCGCCAAGAATAGTTCACTTGGCGAACTTCTTAATATATGGCAACCTAGTTTCCTTTCCCGTGAGAGGAAAAAAATTCACCATCGTTCCTTTTTTCCCAATAATATTCTTTAGATTATATTTTTAATCATGACTGTTATTATTTTAAGTAATTTTTTCTTTTTCGAATTTCATTTTAATTGTTTAAGCTGCATAGGTTTTTTAGAATAACTGTTTTAAAAATTTCTATTTACCTATTCGAACTGCTTAAATAAAGGTGCAGGTTTATTTTTTTAATAGGTTTCTTTATATGTATTTTTTGTTATAGTTATTACTCGTATTTTAGGTAATTTTTAAAATTTTATACTTTTATTTTAATTGTTTGTGTTGCATTGTCTCTTCAGATAATTGTTTTTTTAAATTTTCTATTTATTCCTTCGAAATGAGCATTTTAAATATATTTATTAATATAAATTTTCCAGAATTTGATTTTATTTATTTGAATTGTGTTTCTTTCGGAAGAATACTTTGCAACCCAGACTACGACGTGTATGAAAACTGCATACATTAAAAGAGAAAATACAGTAAAGCACAGTTAACAGGCCTTTCAATGTTCCGTTCAGAAAAGATATATATAAATAAGAGAGATGTATAACCGACATTTTAACTTAGGATGACTTGCATACACTACTTTAAACAGTTTTATCATTGTGCCCATTGCTTTACACAGTTTTATCCTACATTTGGTTTCTTAAAATTTTATTCATATTTTAGTCAAATATTTTATTTTTGAAATCGCAAGAATCAAATATCATAACATTGAAAAGTTTTAAATTAAAAAAAAATGCAAATACTAAATTTTACGAAAAAATTTATTTTCTTCTCTTTTTCTTTAGCTCATTCTGCAAGTATATTAAAAAGCATCCAACTTTTCGAAAATATCTTGGAATTTCTGACAATGATTTTAAATAAAGTTATCACCCTTCCATTTCATAAAGAGCCCACAACCCGGCCGAGCGGTAAAGTTGCTGAACACTGGTAGTTCACTCCGGGGTTCGAATTCCGGTAAACGAGCTGGTTGCATGGGACGTTTTTTCGTGGATTTTCTCATGCGTAACCGTGTATGCCAGCTGGTTTCCCTTAGAAAGTTCTTCACGAAGGCATCCATCCTTTTAGGCAGATAGTTCTGCTTTGCCATAACTTAAAAATCCAATTCAAACCATTTCATCAGTATTTAAGCCAGAGCCTTTATCAGTCTTTAGAGGCTAAACATTTTGAAGGTATGAGATGTAAGGAAAGACTGGTTTCATCAAGAGGTTTTGGTTTATTTAATTACGACAAAGCACACTAGAGCTATCTGCCTAAGGGAAGGGATGCTTTCGTGGAGGACTTTCTAGAGGAAACTGGCTCGCATACACGTTACACATAAGGAAAACAATGAAAACGCCCGTTCAGCCAGCCCGCTCACGGGATTCGAACCTCGGACCGAACTACCAGTGTTCAGCAACTTTACCGCTCGGCCGCTGTTTCATCAGGAGGAAAACAAAAACATTTTTAGGTGAAATCCACATACATCACTGGATAAACTCCTGAATCTTAAAATAATTCGACTGAGAAAATCATGGGATTCTCCATTTATGATACGATATGATGTTCCGTAACAAAAAATTTATACAACCATATAGTCTAAAACCAGTCGCTCTTCACTTTAATCTGCAATGATATCATTTTTGTCTTTTCTGTTAACCACAAGCTCAATTGATGGTATTTGCTGGTGTTTTTGCGAAAAATTTTAACATTGACTTTAAGTGAGCTGCAATCACAGTGGTCCAGCTGTCGACTGCTCATCAGAGAAAAATGGTTTAGTTGTAAAACTAGCTGTCATTCAAAACTAAATGGTGAGGAATGACTGCTGTGCAATCGAATGCAGTGGGAGAATGCAATGGAAGTAAATAGATAACATGAGGGATTTCTTTGGCCCAAATCGATTAAAAGCGTTTTAAATCAGTATCTTCATTTTGAAGGTATGAGATGAAAGGAAAGACTGGTTTCACCAAGAGGTTTTATAAAGCCGAATTCAGGCTTCAAAAATTACACATTAGCGATCTGTAAGAAAACGATTTCCAGATTGTACGCACTTGTGCGAGTGATTTGCTATCTCACATTTCTAATTGCTAATTCGTGGTTTTCACGGACGAATTTCTCACTTACACGGACGGCGCACTCGACGTTTATCGAATTTAACGCCTTTAAATTGTAATTTGCTTACTTCAAAGTTTCTTAAGGGTATACAACATATTAAACCCATGTAACAAAAGTGTTAAGTTAGATTCCGACGCATATTTCGTTTAACAATATTGCATACAGCACCATTTCCCTCCTGGTGGTGAGGTTTCAAACTTCCTTTTTTTTTTCGGGGAAAATAAATTCCCATGACCTCCTTTACACGATTACCAAGTTTGATAACATTTGATAAAGGAGTTTTCCTTTTATGACCGTTTCAATGTGGAACTTTAATTATAACCATTCTGAATATTATTAAATTTTAATTTGAAGCAATGCGTTATATCTATACCATACGTAAATTTTTCGCTTTTATGGAAAAATACAGAATCGAAGCAAATATACTTAGGATAATGGACCAAAACTGAAAAAATGTCCCCTCCCTCCGAAAATCAAATATTAAAACTTCAACCTTGAATTTATTGGGTTATTGAAATATTTAATTTGACTTAATCTTCTAAGTCCTAGTTCCGACAACAATTCCGTCAAAAACTCCGAATTACTTAAGCTGAAGT